ATCTACGCGTGTGTATGTGCGATATATGCGCCCACGTGTGTCAGTGCACAAGTGTATTGGTTCTGGCGACTTATCTCGTATTCGATTCGTTTCGTCGTCTTTATTTAGCGTTCCGACCCCGGGACGCCTAGAGAATTCGAAGCGTCGAGACGTCTGTTCACGCGTGTCGATGCGTGACAAGGGACAGTACGGGTGAGAACGAGGAGCGGTATGCATGTGCACGTGCGAAGCTACCCGGCTTCACCTTGTACCGGCCAGTAGCCGGCGCTGAGTGCACGCGCTGATTATGTCCCCACATGCCGATGACGCGTATTACGCAACTGCAGATTGCGGTTTGTGTCACGACCTCGATCGGACGATTTGTAGCGGTCAGGCCTGCGCTCGTTAAATCGAGGACGCATGGCCGACAGTCGGATTTCGTCTGCACCGATCGCCTACGGATCACGTTCCATGACTTTTCCCGATTTTTCCCTCTTTTTTATTTTTTTTCTGGTTTTGGGTTAGGTTTGGGTTTCACAGTGGACTCGTTTCGATGATCGCGATACGGGGAACGACAGGGTTAAGAGCGATTCCCGAGACCCGTGAGATTCGAGTACGTTGAAACTAGATGCAACAATGCGATTGGTTTTTAACCCTCTGCACTCGAGAGTCGCCATTTAATAAAATTCGAAAGATCGATATTAATTAATGTATTACATTCGAAGTAATATAACGATGCGCGAAATATCGAGATAAAATAATTCTGCGTTAATTTATATACGCTCTCTTATTTCAAAAAATGACAGAGTCTATGAATTGCTATCTTCCTGTAATGAAATGGTCACCCGGTGCAGAGGGTTAATGTCTGAATTGTGAAATTGGTTAAAATCCATGGATTCGGATATTTTATTACCTAACCAAGCCTCATATAGGTTACTCTAATTGAACGTGTACAAGTTTGGGTGCATTGCGATCGGTTGACACGAAGTGGTAAGTGTTTTTCCGTTGATAATATGCAGGGTGTTCCAGCAACGGCAGCACAAACGGTACGGGGTGATTCTACGTGAAAAACTGAATAAAAAATATAGAATAAAATTTTTTCATTCGAAGCTTCGTTGTCGAGGAAATCGACTTTGAATATTCACTGGGTGCGCGTGCACTTAGCTTTGGCTTACAAGATGGACGGACCATAGGTATAGCAGCGTACTCGGTGAATATTCAAAGTCGATTTTCTCAGAAACGAAGCTTCGAAACGAAAAATTTTATTCTATATATTTCATTCAGTTTTTCACGTAGAATAATTATACACCCTCGCGGTTGTACTACCGTTGCTGGGACACCCTGTATATCCACTAAGGGTGTGTACGGATTTCGGTGTCTGGTGATGAAAGTTTAAAAAAATTCAAGCTAATATGCCTCGCCTAATGGTGACTTATAGTCTCTTAAATACTAGAGACACTGGCGTATGGTGTCCAGGTGACACGAAGGTCCTCTAGACCCTGTGCACCGGTAATAAACGAATAAACCCTCGATCCCGACTGAATCCTGACGAAATCTCGATTGGACCTTAGAAAATTTAGTCCTGGGTCTCAAAAAATTGTCAAAATCTACGTGGACTGACGATTCGAAGACTCGACCTCAGAAAATTCGGTCCTGGGACCCAAAGAATTGTCAAAATCTACGTGGACTGGCGATTCGAAGATTTGACTTCAGAAAATTCTGTTCTGGGACCCAAAAAATTACCAAGATCAGTGTGGACTGATGATTCCAAGACTCGACCTCAAGAAATTCGGTCCTAGGACCCAAAAGTTGTCAAAATCTACGTGGACTGACGATTCGAAGACTCGACCTCAGAAAATTTGGTCCCGGGACCCAAAAAATTATCAAGATCAGTGTGGACTGATGATTCGAAGACTCGACCTCAGGAAATTCGGTCCTAGGACCCAAAAGTTGTCAAAATCTACGTGGACTGACGATTCGAAGACTCGACCTCAGAAAATTTGGTCCTGGGGCCTAAAAGATTACCAAGATCAGTGTGGACTGACAATTTGAAGACTCGACCTCAGAAAATTAGGTCCTGGGACCCAAAAAAAAATTGTCAAGATGGTCATCATGGACTGGAGATTCGAATTATCGAAGCGTGTCGAGGTGCATGCACTCGTTTAGGCGAACGGGGTGGCGATTATTCGAGCAGTCACGCGAGAAGCGACTCGGAATTACACGCGCGACAATTCCGCGTCGGACCGCGACGAAAGTAAGAACGTTTACCACCGGAAGTAGATGGCGCGAGGCATCACTCCGTACACACGTTCTATTCGGCGGTCTGTCATGCAAATGTGGCCCCGACCGCGCGTCGCAAAAAGGACCTTCTTAGGTGGAAGCTGCATCGCTGGGTCAGGTAATGGATACGCAAGGGTGATCCCACTTAACGACCCTAAATTACCCGCGCTCGCCGAATAAACGGCCGGTCGCGTGTAAAACTGTCCCGTGTTCTGTCAGCCATCGTAGCTTTTTGCTCCAACTATTCTTTATTTTTTTTTTATTTTTTTTTCGGGGCGGGTAATTTTTCTCGGTCGAAATATCGGAGGTCACGTCGGGGTTTGCAACATGCGATGCCAGAGGTGGGAAAAAGTGTCGCCTACTGGGTGTCCCTGCAAATTATAATAATTCCGAGACGAGCAGGGTGGGCACACTTTGCGGATCGCGTTTTGCGATTGGTATATGTGTACACGTACACGATAAAATTGTAACTATGGTATTTAATTAGTACTGCTTTACACTGGTAAGATGAAACGTGTGTTAATATCGAATCAATCGTTGTACGTGTAATCTATAGTTTCAAGAAACGATAATTTGTACTTAAAATTGATTTATCTACGAACTTGATATACAGGGTGTCCTAGATTTTAATGTTCACACATTGTCAGTATATTCTATGGTAGGGAGCATGTGTGGTATTAAAAATATACTGGGTGTCTCGGAAAAGTGTGCACCAGGTGGTTCCAGGTGAACGTTACGAATAAAATGTACAAGTGGAACATCGATTAGGCGAATTCTGACTAATTCGAATACAGGAAGCGTGTGGGTGATATACGATGTTTATATAATAATTTCAATACAAAAATAGTTACATTGTACCGTAAAAGAAATGAATGTAACAGAAAATAGCGATAAAATCGGTTCCTTCGAATTTCTTACTTAGTCCACCTCTTACTTAGACCGCTTGACGAATCGGAACTTATTGTAAAGTTAGGCACGAATTTTCAAATTCGATCTGCCCAAAACCTAAGTTTAAAAGAAATTAAAAAAGAAAGAAAGGGAAAAGAATTATTCTATATTCCTTTATATCTTTTCACGAAAAACTACCTAATGCCTGATTGTGTGGCGTATATATATTTTCGAGACACCCTGTATACGTAGTACTTAGACCTAAGCGACGTTGGGTCAAAATGAGCATTTTGCGCGCATAAGTTACGGGGTACCCAGTCTTTGCTCGCGAAAGGGACTATGTATGAATAATTTTGGATCGGTGTAACACAATTTTTGCTGGAGTCTTGAACGCGGTAATGGACGATGGGCAGGTATGATCATTCGGGAGAGATGAATTTTGTGTTCGATGGTACGAACGGGTTGATTGGAAATTCGAGTTTTTCGATTTAACGCCGTGATTGATCTACGAATTGCGTTTTGTAATGAAGGCTCGATTTTCCAGAAAGAATTGCCAATGTGTGAGTGGGTGTTTTCCTGTGTTTTGTTGCGGTGAATTGGATTATTTTGAAACATTGTTGCGTATGCGAAAACGATCCAGAGATTCCCTACGATATCGGTTTTGAAAATTATTTCCAAAAAGATAAATTAATTCTTATTTTAGTCACGGGTACTTTGGTCTTTAGTATATATTTAATGTTCATATTTTAGGGGACACTAGAATTATCAAAATGGCGGAATTCGGCTGTTTTTTCGAAATATTAATATTAATTTTTATTAACACCGATGTATTAATATTAATTTTTATTCAAAGTGTTAGGGTAGATGTCGCTCCACACGATAGGGAACTCTGGGCAGCGAGTGGACTATCTAGTAACTTTTGTTTCGTGGTCCACTAGTTGCTTTTGTAACCACGTGTTCTACTAAATTCAGAATACTTTTATTTTATTTTATTTTATTTACAACTTTAACTATTATCTATATATTTATATAATATATTTAAATACACATTATACATCGATAATTCTAGTGTTAAAATAAATGATCCTTATATATCCACTTCGTGATATGTAACAAAGATTCTTTCGAAATTTCGAGATGTAAAAAAAATTCGAATTTGGAGAATTCTATTGAAATTTGAGAAATGTTGAAATTTTGAAAATTCGATGGAAATCAAAATCTGTGGAACGTTGAAATTTTGAAAATTCAATGGAAACAGAAATTCAAGAAACGTTAAAATTTCTAAAATTCGATGGAAATGAAAATTCAAGAAACGTTGAAATTTTGAGAATTCGATGAAAATGGAAATGGAAATTCAAGAAACGTTGAAATTTCGAAAATTCGATGGAAATGGAAATGGAAATTCAAGAAACGTTGAAATTTCGAAAATTCGATGGAAATGGAAATGGAATGGGAAATTCAAGAAACGTTGAAATTTCGAAAATTCGATGGAAATGGAAATTCAAAAAAAGTTCAAACTCTGAGAACCCAAAACTACATTTGTTTTCCAGATTCGAAGGCTAATTCGAAAATTTCGCGTCTTCGATTCTCGAACCGAAATATTTCTGCGACCGGAGGAAAATTAGTACCTCGAGTTTCCACATGCAGATATGGAAACTTGAAAAATCGAATTCGAACCCACCCCCAAGATACCGGAAATCTCAACACCGATAGCCAGAAGGGACACTAACCTTTTCCACGAAGGGGATAATTTCACGATACACCTGTTGCGATATCCTGACGCGCACTTCGATCGAACAACCGCTCTCGTTCGTTGGAAAATTAGTCAATTACGTAGCATGATGCGCACTTACCCCAATTATGGAGTTCAGCTCCGACATCGTGATCTGTTTCGCCCTATCAACAGCGGTGGCGACCTGCTGCTGATGTTCCTGGGACAGAAAGGGCAGTATCTGTCCGATGATTGCGTTCAGTCTCTTCGATATTTCGGCCTGAAAAAGAAACATCATCTCGTTAGTATTGCACGTTCATTGCGACCATGAAAAGTTGCAAAATCATTGCGATGAAAAATGATCGCGATTAGCCCGTTTCAAGTGGGCATCTTCCTTTTACGGGGTCGAGAAAAGGTCACCTTTGAGAATTTTTCTCAGAGAAACTATGAGAGTTTTTGATACGAGAGCTTGGGTGCTTGTTTCATCCATCCTTGGACTATACATGGGAATTTTTTCAATCGAAAAGAACGAAAATTGAAAAAGTTATGGCGTAGTAATTAGAGGCTGGTTATTAAGACTGTACCTCGATGATTGACGCGATTCCAGCTGTTCCGTTTATCAGAATGAAACGATTGACGAATCATTTTGCTCAGTAAGAACGCAGCGATAGTCCGAACATAAACAAAGTGACGTACCTCGATATTTAACAAAATGGCGAAATTTTAAAGTCGAAATGCCCATTTTCGTCAACCTTTTATGCCATCCTACGCTTGAAAAAGGCAAGAAAAACGCGTCAGATTTTAACAATTCTCGTATCATCGATAAAACCAAGTTTCCTAAAGCCACCACTCGAATTTCAACCAAATCAATCCGTCAGAACTGAATCTATCGAGTCAGACAGTCCCAAAGATGCGGTTCCGAGAAGGCGTCCTATCGAGTCAAAAAATTCCATATCTCGGCTAAAATTTCGAATTTCGCGAAACGGCTAAGGCAAGTCTATTACCAAAACCGTAAACTTTGAGAAAATGCAAAAAAAAATAGATTTTTTCGACTTAGGAAAGTGGAAGACCCCCTTAACTCGGCACAGTGGGTGATCGGTCGACGCGTGAGAGCTTGTAGTAAAACGTGGTCGGTAACAAAGTGCAGGAAAGAGGGAGGAAGCTTTTATTTCGCTTTCGAAGCACATGCTTTCCAGCTGCACGGCGAGGATGGAGAATATTTTTGGCTCTCTCTCTTTCTCTCTGCGTAAGCTCTGCGTTTAACCGCGGACAATTTTAACGAACGCCGGGGTAAATTTAGACCGTGGAAAAGAACGGAACACGCGAAATTACGCGCGAGGAGTATACATGGGAGAAGACAACGGAAGTCGGAGATCAACCCCCGAGATGGACCTCCGACCTGCATTTACTTAGTTCGCCGACCGGTTAACCGCGCGTTGCATGAAAGAAGTCATCTGGTTCGGTTGCGGGGCAAGAGAGGTATTCCACTTGCACCGTCTATACTCTCGTTAGTAATACCCACTCTTCTATGACACTCCCAAAACTACTATCTCCAAGTTCGGCAACGTGAACGTTAACATAGGCGTGAGATATCCGCGAAAGAAACGTTATCTCAGAGTTAACTTACAACGAATTGGAAGCACTACTACGCTTTGGGTCGAGTCTACGCTCTTGCATCTATTTTTGCGTCTGTCTCACTTTGTCTCGTTGCTTCGTTCGCTTTCTTCGTCACATGGTGTTCTATGACCTGGCTAATAGGAAGGGATCTGTTTTACCAACAAGGGAAGCGTTTTACTCTACTTCTGCCATGATGTTAGAATGGTTGGACTGGTGGGGATTCGGTCCTACAAGTTTCTCAGATGACTTCTTTCATGCAACGCAGGGTATACACGCGCCAATTTGAAACTTTATTTCGTCGAGACTGACGAGTATACTCGTCGCGTGAAATAGAAGATTACCATTCGCTAGGAAAACTCGGAATTTCAGCAAGGAGTAATGAAAATGTCGTTCATGTTCCGTTTGTATAAATAAAACGATAATTAAATAAAAAGCAAACGATATGTATGATGTACGAGTGTAAAGGATTAAAATGCGTGAAATGGATTTATTGTCGCGTGATTAGTATAGTCTTCGTGATCATTTTATTTTATACGTACTATGTCATATATTATGTTATATATTTATGATATATAATATATATATCAAAAGATTTGACACGAAGAACGCGTTAGAATTGCTCGTTCCAGTGCAAAGGGTTAATAACGACGGGAAACCTAGGTACCCAGCGTTGGAATACTTTCCAGTGTGTTTTGTTACGTACTTGGACGACAGGAACGTATTGATCAGCATGGACCAATATGGGTTACGAGTGAGAGAACTGGAGAGATAACAGTAGAAACGCGATTATCCGAATTAGTTGGATAACAATGCGAGATGACAGTGGAAACACGATTATCCGAATTGGTTGGATAGCATGACTGAGATGGCTGCAGAGTCACGGTTATCCGAATTAATTCGGATTTAGGGAAAAAATTTTCCTGGTAACACAGGGTGTCCCAAAAGTCACGCAAGATTTGAATTTACCGCCATTTGTGTTCAAATATTATCGACGAAAATAAAATTCAGCATGACAGCTGACAATTCAAGGTTATCAAAAATAGAAGACTATACTAAAAAACAATGACTCTTCATTATTGAGAAATATTTTAAAAACAAAGAAACTGTGTTTCTTTTCTATCAAAATTAATTTTTGCGTGAATTTTGAGACACCCTTTACATCCAGAGTACAGAGCCATAAATCAAAAGAGACTAAGAAAACACTACCCTAACGTGAGAAATTTACAAAAGAGAGAAGAAATCAATCTCGTTCACCTTCTTCCGCATATACAATAATTCAATCAACCCTATCCCACTGTACACTCCGGCTAATAGCACACGTCCACTATAGTGAAATCCTCGGTGTGCAACATGTAAACAGGAACAAGAAATTTCCTTCTAAAGATAGAATTCTATTTCGCGGAAAAATTACAGAAATTCTCCTCTGCCCGAAGTTTCCAACGTACATCTTCCGACTCATTTGGCTCGGGCATTCTGGACACGTGTCAATGTTCCGCGCGAGATTAAATTTATCTCCGCTCCTTCCTCCCGATATATATATATATATATTATCCGCGGTTAAAAATGAAATAAATCGGCTGTAGGAACAGTCCGATCGGCCGTTTGTTTCCTGCGATAACCGATATTTCCTCGCGGCGGCGGACGCGCGAGGGAAAGGCGCGGAATGCGAGCGATATCCATCGAACCGGCGTATTTCTAGCGTGGACGGGCCCGCGTCTCTATTTTGGTCGCACGAAGCCGGCGAGAAGCTCGCAAGAGGCGTCGGCACCGCGGAAATAAGCGACGCGGCCAGACATAAGGTGGATGATTAACGAGACGCGTATAAAAGCCGCGCGTCACGGCTCGGTTTCGTCGGTTTAACGAGCCGATCCCGTGGTTTGCGTCCCTCATGCACGAGAGGGCCGATATATACGCGGTGTGACTAAGAAACACGGTGAGTGTTAATTATTCGGAAGATTATTAATTATTCCGATTTGAATTTCCCGCCTATTTAGCGTGGACAAGGTGGAGGCTAATGGTGAGCGATCGCAGCGCCGCTATTATGGCGTAATATTATCGTGACTGAGAAAGATGACGATTGTTAATAGTTTGGATTTAAATCTCCCGCCTATTTAATGGAGTCAAGATGGATGCTAATCGTAAGCGATCGCAGCGCCGCTAGTATCGTGAAATATTATTATGACTAAGAAATATGACAATTTTTAATTATTTGAATATAAATTTCCCGCCTATTTAGTGGATTCAAGATGGATGCTAATCGTACGCGATCGCAGCGCCGCTATAACCGCTGTGAGTAGTAGAGATATTTTTCTTTCGTTAAATAGCGAATACGAATAACGAATTAATTATCGAAGTTCGAATTTCCCGCCTATTCATTGATGTGAAGTTAGCACCACTGTTGTCGATACGGTTAGAGAGGTTATTTTTCTCTTATTTTCTACTTCACCGAGAATACAAGCAATGATATGTAACCATATGTAATTCTAATGAACTAATATATTGTTGGCGGTATACTGTGAAACGAATCGAATCTAAGTTCCCGCGCATATACAAGAAATATGCGAAATATATGTGCATCTAAATATTTATACTCGGCTGTTTGAATTAGAAATCTCGTTTCTATATTCCTTAATCTCCTCGCTAATTCAATCAATGTGCAAAGTAGGTATTAAAAGTTACACTATGGAGATAATTAGACGTAAATATTACAGTAATAAAAAATAAACTTAATTATTCTACCAACTATACTGCGAGTGATAATTAGCGAAAGTCGAGTGTAGCAATACCTGATATCTCTTGCATTCAGATCACCTAGCACACCAAACGTGTCGATTGTATCAATAACTGCCACTCAACTATACACATACTAACAAAATTCGATATAATAGCATCGAAGAATTTTTAACGCTACCACGAATACCAAGAAAATACAATAATGCAATAATACCTAAAATTAAAAAACATTAAGACCGTCCACCATTTACATATTTAGAAAAAGGTTACGCGCAATATATATCCCAATTTATTTGAAATAACGAAAGAACCAACTATCGAACTACTTGGAAAAATAGTGAAAAGAATTATTTCTTCGTACCGAACTACCAAACCCTCACCGAATTCTTCCATCAGAGCTGGTATATTCGACTCGTCCCGGACAACTTCGATCGCGAGGATGTTTACGAAGCGCCGAGTTCCCCGTAGTGGAAGCGCTTTCTTCAAACACGGAGAACGGTGACGCGTACGGGCTACCAGTTTATCGAACGAACGAACGAAACGTCTTCTCGGAACAGCGGCTCGCAAACGGAATCGAAAGTGGCGGCTGCATTTTCTCGGAGCCTTGCCCCGTGTCGTCGAGTCATCGCGGCAAATGTTTATTCGGCCGTGTACACGGGACAAACTTATCCCGCTTAATGACTTCGGCAAACACGCGACGTTAACCGACGCGGGTCTCGAGCCAAGGAAGAGTATCGCACGATGTGAGAGAGAGACGGAGATACATGCGTGCGCACACGGGCGCGCGGAATCGCGTTTCTGCGGTTGGATGCGCGGACTGGCTGCGCAGTAACACAATGCAACGCGACGGCAGACGGAGATCAGACTCCATGATGCTTCCTCGAGACGAAGGGTGAAAACTTACCTGTTTGTGCATCTCCACGTTTAGGCCGTACGACATCTCGTAATACTGAAACAGAGAAAGCGAACTGGTTGTTATAAAAATTTTAAAGAACGACTTCACGACACTATAGTTACTGAATATTTCAAGAGGAAGGAGTGTCGATGTAAATGAAACGGAATTGGAAGTGCGTTAATCGAGGAAAACCGAGTATGCATATTCGAATTGGGATAGTAACTTTTTGCTCCTTTTTAAAAATTGTTTTACGTTATTTTAAAGTATCTATAATATAAAGTATGTAAAAGATTAATTTCTTTTACATTTTTGTCTTCGCGATTACCGGTATGTATAATAATTGTGATTATTTACGGTTATATTAAATATATGAATTTTATAAGTATCTAATGATACCCATGCGGTATATACATACATCTTACGTTGCTAAAGAGTTAATTATATTTTATAATGATTAATTCTTAACCGTGCAGGACCATAATGGCTGAAAAAGGCAAAGTAAGCGCAGAATAGGAGAGAAACGTTACGCGGAGATGGGTTTTTCAAGATTTATTTTCAGACTTATGATGAATTAATGTAAATGAAGCGTCATGTGTTAGACGCGGCCCGTTATTCCAAAAATATGCTTCTCCATTATGTATAATGTCATTACATAGCCGTTTCATCATTTTGATGCTTTCAGTGGAAATAGCAGACAGCAATAAGTTGCATAATGCCTAGTACCGTGTTTTCCACGAGACAAAGAAGAATTCGCAATACCACGAAATAAAAATAAACGAACACAAGGGATTAAAGTTAACTACCTTACGTCCGCCATTTACAATCTCTCCAAACTTCGCGCGTTGATTTACCCCAGGCAATTATCGAATCGTCCATATCCGCGTAATCTACAACACGATTACGAAATTTGAAATTTGAAAAATTTCGAAAATTTTAATTCGAAAAAATTCAAATTTTCAAATTCCTAATTTTCTTTGTGGCAGAAAAGGAAGTAAAAGGGACAACAGAAAAACAGCATCACGCCAAATTTCGAATTCCAATTTCTTTTACAGAAGGGAAAATTTAAGAAGACGACGAGATTACCATTTCAAACTTCAGGATTCGTTTATTTCGAAATTTCAAATTCCAAATTTTCTTTATGATACGAATTAAAATGAAAGGGACAATAGAAAGACGGTATATCACTCCAAATTTCGAATTGCAAATTTTTTCACAAGAATGAAAATTTAAAAGGACGATGAAAAGATTATCGTTCGAAATTTCAAAATTTCAGATTATCGCCCGAAATTTCACATTCCAGATTATCGTCCGAAATTTCACATTCCAGATTATCGTCCGAAATTTCAAAATTTCAGATTATCGTCCGAAATTTCAAATTTCGGATTATCGTCAGAAATTTCAAATTTCTTGTTTACGAAAAAAAAAAGAAAATTTAAAGGGGCAATGGGAAGAGTATAGCACGAAATGTTCTTCTCTCAGTCGACCACGGGATTTCGATGAATCGAAAAATGATCGACGACGCTGTTAACCGCGAAACTCGAGGATGCTCGCGAGCGGAAACAAGACTGGAGAAAAAGGCGGCGAGGAAAAATAATAATACCACGTCTCGAGCGTTACGACACCGGGAAACTCCTAGAGTTCCCGATGCGAAGTGTCTTTCATCGGCTATCAACGCCGGTCGTTAGCGGGACCACGATGAGGCGGTCATAATTGCGGTAAACGAGCATTTTACCGAAGAGACCGTTTTGTAGCGTCATTACTTAACAGTCAACTCCGTGCCTCAGCGGCGGTCATTTAGCATCGCGTCCGTACGGCGGCCCCGTCTCTTCACTGCCGGCAATTTAACATCATTTGCCAGATTTGTCCGTGTCTTGCTTCGTTATTTCGACGTTCTTACTTTTTTCAATCCCTCCTTTTCCACCCCACTACCTCGCCCAGTTTTTCGTCCCCCTTTTTCCCCTTTGGGCCCTGTAATTCGTGGCTAATAGAGTCTACCAACTAACGCGAAGGCTGGATTCATTTCAACACCGAAATGTCAACACTGGGGTTAACCTGACTTGTTCTAGATATTTTACTTTTAATACCAGTTATGAATTTCCTCATAGTTCTCAGATATAAATGTCATGGAACACTAATGGAGTCATCTAGAAGGAAAAATTCGTCACTGTTTGAAGAATGGAATATGCAACAGAAACTTGCCGCGATTATACAAACAGAAGATAATCCCATTATATACTATTAGATACTAACAATTTATTACAACATTTATTACAATACTAATAATTTTATGTGGAAAAATAAACAATATTTGGTATATTAGGAGTGTACGGATAATTATTACTCGTGTATTTTCGACCACATTCTAGACTGCTGTTAATATTTTCATGGAAAATATAAACGAAGAACTGATTTTTAATAAAATTTCGAATAATAAGTGAAATAACCAAAGTTCTATGAAGTTTTTGTTCAACCGATTGCTGTTCCAATACTTTTCACGCCCACTGTATGTATATACAATTTCTATCAGATTCTAGAGTTAATTGCTTCGTATAACGCGGAAGAGGTTAGACCAAGATGGCGCTGGATCGGTTTGAGAGGTAGATGGCGCGAGAGTCGATCGATCAAAGAACGCGTGTGATTGTTTCGTTGCTGTTTCATCCCAACAAATTTTTCTCTTCTCTCCTTTCTCCTCTCTTTCTCTCCTCAATTAACATTTTTATCTCTCTCTCTCTCCTTTTTTACCCACCTGCCTTTTTTCGTTTCTTTCTTTTTCCCTTCCCAATTTGTTTCTTCAATTTCCTCGATATTTCCCGTTTTTTCTCTCCCGCTTCTCTCCCTCTCTCGACCGATCTCTCTCTTGCTCCCTCTCTCTCGTCCCTTTTCCATTTTTTCTTTTCTCAAATTTTTTCCTCCTCCCTGGATTTTTCTCTCTTTTTTCCCACTTCCTTCCCCCTCTCGGGGCCCAGGCGTGAACGCAGACCGCCACCTGCCCGCCTCCTTGCACATCCGCGTCATTAACATCCCCGGGTACCATTAATCTCGAGAACGAGCGCTGGCGCGCACGGGCTGAACTATATCTGCCCTCTCGGCATGCGGCTCTGCACTTTCCGCGGTAACGCGTTATTAATTATCGTTAATCGCGATAAACTTAATCGAGTCTAGTCGAGTACACTCCAGAGAGACAGGAGCGAACGGGAGAACGTGTATATACGTCTACGCGAGGGAGCGAATTAGAGTACGAGAGAGAGAAGACAGAGAGAGAGAGAGAGAAAGGAGGCACGAGTGACAAGAGCGAGACGGATAGACAGATAGAGCGAAAGAGAGAGAGAGAGAGAGAGAGAGAGAGAGAGAGAGAGAGAGAGAGAGAGAGAGAGAGATTGGAGGAGAGGGCGAATAAGACGAAGAGAGAGGAAGAGGGCGAATAAGACGAAAATAGAGAAGCAAGGTAAGAGATGGTGGAAGAGGAGAGGAGAGAGAGACGAAGAGAGAGGCGGAGACACGAAGGGTAGCAGAACGCGTGCAACACGCTCGAGAGCCAGGTACAGGTTCTTAATTTTACGGGCCATTAGCCCCGTAATTACACGGGCGAATTAATTGCGTCGTAAGTAAGTTATTCCACCCGAGGGAGAAGGGGTGAAGCTCGCGACCGATGGAAAGGAAGGAAACGACGAAGGGGAGGGCAACAGAGGCGAAGAGGGCAGGAGGCAGAGGTTGTTAAGATCAACTGCAGCAGCGGGAACCGGCAGCGACGATCAGCACCGGCGGCGGCGCTGCAGCCCTTAGTAGTAGCGCACTCTCTGGACCAACTTCCGCGACTCATTATGGCTTGCACAACAAATTAACGTGACGGGCCTCGACCCCTGTACACCGGGCGTCCTTAACGTGGCGCTTGTTAATGAACTCGACAAAGAGAACGAGAAAAAGCACGCGATCTCCCTCCATTCGCCCTCTCGCTCCCTCGCTCCTTCTTCTTCTCTCGCCTCCGTCGCACCGCCAAGGCACCGACACCCCACCGAGATGTACTCTGTACACGTCGTTTAAGCGAGTTAACAAGCGGTCTTTTGTTAGAGACCTGGCCTTTTTTACTGCCGCCGGTACTATTGCTCCGGCCAATGGAGAGGGGGACGGAGATCTTGTTAAGAAGGGGGATAAATGATCGGACCAGGGCGTGCCGGAGGTGTAATTCGGGCCGACAAATTTTTATTCACCGGTTCAGTCGATGGAAATCGATCGGCGAGCAACGGAACGCTGCAGGTGTGCCTCCAACAACCCTAACGTCCAAACTAACCTCCCCTATCTTGAGAAGCATAAACACCACTATATATTAAAAATCAGATGTATGTACCCTAACCTCGAATACTAATTTTTCTGTCAAAGATGTAAGAGTAAACGAGCCTGATTATCGATATGGCGGCGTGAGTAAGGAGCACGCAGTTTTGATGCCTGGAGTCTCAACGACGGACAAAAGGGGCCCACTGGATACTCCGCACAGGTACTCGACTATACGTTACAGAAATTTCAGGTACTACGCACTAGGTACTCGACTCGGGCATTACATACTTAACACGTTGAGTGCGGCGCCGACTTTGCTATACTTTCCGCTCAGGCGGCAGCTAGCGAGCACTCGATGCCGAGCGCTCAAGTACACCGAAGGGTATGAGCAGAAGATTACTTTGTTTCACTTTGTCGTTTGGACTGTGAGGATGGTACAGCCAGTGCGCAAATATACAAATTATAAACAGAAGATAATGGGGTGGGGAATGCCAGAAAGGCAAAAAGGCGATCACCAAGAAACGATCAGTCGAAAAGAGCCACGGAAGTGTAAAGATTTACTTTAGCAGAGGAAATTAAATTTTTACAATATATTAATTGTCATTGATAATTTAACCCTTGACAATGCCAGTCTTACGCACCGATGATGATCAAACGAAAAATTCGTTGTGAGTCCCTAGAATCCACACCGTCCAAACGAAAAGTCTACTGTCAGTCCCTAGGAACTGACGTAGCACTCAACGTGTTAAACAATTTTCAGGTATTCCACCCTGGTATACATTCAAAAATTTTCAGGTACTCGACTATACGTTACAAAAATTTCAGGTACCGTGCGTTAAGTGCCTCGCCCGGGTACTAAGCGCTTAAAAATTTTCAGGTATTTCGCTCCGACATGACGCGTTTAAGAATTCTCAGGTACTCGAGTACAAGTCGCAAAATTTCAGGTACCACGCGTTTCAAGATTCACACAACCCACGACAGACCCAAATTCGCCACTCTATGAACCCCTAATAGAGTCGCTCTTCTGAATGCTGAAACCTGGCAAACAGAGAACAGACAAAGGCAACCCAAAATTCCGAAACCCCGTGATATCTTTGTTTCCCGATACAGCGGATCGTGACAAAACGAACGACAAAAGTGGACTATCTCGCGGATATTAATACGTACCTACGTGAATGTACTATACTCCGAGGGTCTGCGATATTTACGAGGGCATTCATAGAATCCGGTATTCGTTAACGGGGAACAATGCGTTTAGCGCACGTTACACGCAATAATAACGTCCCGGGGGCAACGAAATCTACATTCCACGGTAAAAGGAGTTATGAGACAGAACGCGTCTTAGGGAGCCTCGCGAAGGAACAACGTGGCCCGTGTCGATAAATCTCCGTTGGAGTCTCTCTCTCCACGGCGACTTCCTCCGGCGGCGGCCGTGTTGGCTCGTTCGCTTGATTAATCGTGTTTAAACTAGTCGCCTCCGCGCCAATTAAGTCTGTACAACGCCCCGTGCAAGAACAGCAAGAAAGGTCCGAGGGAGACACTCCCTCGTATACGAGCCAACTGTCCGGGGAAAAACAGGACCCAAGGCGGAACGACAGCCTGGTAAGGGACAACAATAAATTAGTATCGGCCCGATATATACAGTCGTCCCCGAGTGAGACGACGCCGTTCATACTCGCCATTGTCTGCCTCCACGCGTGTGGTATACGGGATAAAATATGCCGAGACAATCTTTTTACTCCGATTTTTGTACTTGGGAATTAAAGAATTCCAGATGGAAATTGCAGTCCGAGTAAATTATTACCAAGTCGACGTTGAATTTTTGGGACCGAAGGAGAACTTTTTAGAAGTCAAAAAGTTTTGAAAACACAAAGGAGATAAGAATACTAATCGGTATATTAAAAGAAAAGAAAATAAATATCGACTTTTCTATGTCACTACATATTTGGGAAATTAATATCGATTAACACATTAAGGAGAGGAATGGATTAAAAATTTCACGCCCCTATATAATAAACATCGACTCATCTCCTTCCCCTTCAAGAATCCCCCCTCTCAAAAAGAAAAAAAAATAAATAAATAAAAGCAAAAAAATTCGCAGAAAATATTCCTGAAAGTACCCGAGTTACCACCCCGGGAAGGACACAACGTGCACGGTCCTGAGCCGGAAATATACCAGCGCCAACCCACTGTGCATTAGGAAGCCAGAGATCGAGTTTTTACAGCGTTCTAAATAAACGATATTCGCCGTATCAGCGCCAATTAATTATGTCACCGGCCGCCACGATAAACTCCCCACCACCCGTGCCACGCTCGTAACCCTCGGCCGGGGTACCCGCGCACGCACGCAGTCCAATTTTGCGAGGGTTAACTGCGGGGCATTTACCATGAAAACGCCCGGCAATAAATCCCATCTTGCGTGCGGCGAGCGAACGCGGCTCGGATTTCCTCGCGGGACACGCGGATCGGTATAATTAGACTGGTTTACGGCGGTCGATCGTTGGAAAGCATTCGGGTACAAGCCAACCGGGGCAACTACATTATCCTTCAGCATTGCTCGCGCGCCGCTATCCCGCTCGTATTACTTTGTCATTAGGTGTCCGAAGACGACCGTGTCCGGCCGATGGTCCCCGAACGACTGGGCGAGCGCCGGTGCTGCCGTCTGGCGGAACCGTTTTCCATGCGCGGTAGGTTGCGCGCGACGATTACACGGACGCGCGGACGGACGCGTGTGTGCTAAGGTATTCCTTCGTGGAGTATCCGAATAGGGCGAATGCGCGCGGCCTAACAGGCCAATGGTAAAGTCGGTGCGGCGAGGATGCAATTAATGCTAAGAAGCCGAGGTGGTTTAGCGGTCGAGCAAGCATGATTATCCGGGATACGGAAAACGAGGGGGAACGAAAGGGGGACTTTAGGGGTCAGGCGAGAGGGAGAGAGAAAGGAAGCGCGGACTTAAGCGGAATTAGTGTTACGGAATGGTAATTCCTTACCATCACGTAATGTCGTTGAATCTCGATCTTGTCCGTGGCCAATTTCTCGCACTCGAGCTTCAAGCTGTGAACACAGAGAAACGGAGAAAGGTACAGATTAAATGATTTCAGCACGGTGGTACTGGCCGCGATCGAATGATGGCGCAGTGTATATCTGAGATTCGTATCCGGGATACGAAAATCAGAGAGATACCAAGTCTCGTTAATTCGCTTTTTCACACACGCGCTATCATTCTGTCGCGGCCATTTTGCACATAAACATATGATATTCATAGAAATTGATATTTTTGAAAACATATACTTTAAGAAAATGTAAAAAAAAAAAAAAATTGATTCTTTAAGTCGGAATACAAGAATACCCGCTTAATAAGGGAGTACATTACAAGGGTACGTATGTGTATATACAGCACTGGTCTCTAAGAGCAGTGTAAACCATAGGGTGTACTATTATTTCCTGATGTGGCATGATTTTATAGTTAACGGAAACGAAGGCGAGCATTTTGGAAATACAAGTCACTTTATTGGTACGACGCATAGACGCTGGGCCTACAGTGGCTGCCAAAAGTTTCTGCGAACGATGTAACGTGGGACATTCTACGTCAAAAATGACTTCCGGTTTCGAATGTTGCGTCGATAAAATTCTTCCCGTAAGTAGCTCGAGGAGACGATATTTTAGAAAGCAAAGTGGATAACGCGCTCCGATGAATATTCTCGAGGACCGTTTATGCCCGAACGGTGTAATAAAATTGCACTCAAGTCGGAAACTTTTGGCAACCATTGTACCCCGCCTATCCCAGCTTTCAGCTGGCGTAAAATATCGTCGATACTCGGCGGACTGCGCGATTGCAGGAGTAACACGTGCCCTTAAACTCGAGTCTGTGCCGCCATCTTTATGCGCGCAGCATTGGCGTAGCGTCGATATTAATTGCCGTCGATCGTGCATACGTAATCAGCGGCACACGCGATACTCGTTTATGTCATTTTCTTCGGCCTCCTACCGCGATTGTCTCGCGGTAAACGGCGCAACCGAGTACACAGGTCGATTCTACATGCAAAACGGAATAAAAAATGTAAAGGGGGTAACTCGATACGAGGCTTGGTTTTCGAGCAAAACCGGGGTCGAAAGTTCTCGGGGCACGCGTGCCTCTAATAAGGCTTAATCGTGTGGGGCTTTCGAATAGACCGCTGTCAATCATTCCGGAATGAAGGACATAAGAAGAATAATCGTAATGACAATAAAGAAGCATTTCCAAGTCGCTGGAACTAGCAATTTCGTGCCCCGGAACCCCCACTCCCGCGATTCAAGCGCGCGCGCCCCGCAGTATCTTCGAGCTCGATTATCTCGCGAAGGAAGCCTGCTACCAGAAAACTTTGTCCCACGTTTTCTATTCGTTTTTTAATGCAGAATCGGCCTGCAGGCCGGTTACACTGCTGTCTCCGTCGGGCGCGGCGTGCACTGTCCTCGCGTGTGCGGGTGCCGCGGAAAGTACATGGCAGCGTCTGAAATATCGCTGCCCCCCTATCGCCCCCTTCTCTTATAACCCGCGTCATCGACTGGGAACAATGCCGTGTACCTGTTCCTCGACTTCAAAGAAAAAGGAAGAAAAAATAGGAGAAAAGAGAGAGACAAAAATTGGAGAGAAGAAGAAGGGAAGACGTTAGGGGGAGGAGAGGGGGAGAGGAGCTTGAAACTTCCGGCTGGGAAGTTGCAGGCTGTACGAACAATGAAAGTTTCGATCCGCGAAACGCTGAAAAATGCAGCAGCAGCGAGAGAGCGAGAGAGGCTTCCTTAATTTCGTATTCGCGGTGGCTACGGTGCACGGGTGTCATTACGTGTCTGCCAATAGCCACGTTGTCGTAAATCACTTATGGCTTTTGTGTATCGCGTGCAAAGCCAAGGGAAGCAGCTGCACGAGTTCCCAGGCTCTTTCTCCATCCGCGATGGCGGTGTGCCCGGTAGCTGCCGGCTACGTATGCAACTTCGAGACAAAAGGAGGGGCGGGGGGAGAGAGAGAGAGAGAGAGAGAGAGAGAGAGAGAGGCTGAAAGGGCTGATGAGCAGGTGCCGCTCGACTTCAATCGTTTTACGACTCTCGCCTTCCCGCCACCCCTTTTTCCCGCCAACCCCCAATTCTGCTCTTTCCACGCGTCCTCCTTTTTTCGTTACGCGATTTAATAAACTTATTCCAGCCGGAAGACCTTTTTCGGATTAGCTCCGGCCACCCGTCTTTTTTAATAATCCTCCCGGGCCGCGAACCCGATAGGAGAGGGAGAAAAACGAGGAACAAGAACGGGGTACCGTAATAAGGTGACTTGCAAAGGGTACAAAAACCCGGGGTCCACGCGAATCTCTCTACGGATGATTGTTTTCTCCCTTCCACTTACGCTCGGTGGTAATTAAATTTTCGCTCTTATCGCCGCCATTTTGATGCCACTGCGTTTAAAGGGCCCGGTTTAACCCCCGATATTTAATTATGCAAGATCGCGTATTCGAAAAGTTTTTGAGCTTAATTAATCGGTGCGTGTGTGTATATATATTTCGTTCGCGATGAAATTAATTTAAAAATCAATTTTCGATTTGAGGAGTTATCGCGAATGCGATTATGAGGACAGGAGGGTGATGTGGATGTCAGTGGCAGGATGTGAACCGTGTGTCTGGATACGTGTAAAATACAAGGAATTTGTAAATATTAATTGGTAGGATAAAATAATAATGTTGTACCGTGTTATTTATATTTTAATATTAACAATCGTGATAATGTATTACAACTATATTTTGAGTACGCGTGAAATTCGTCATTCGAGCATCGAATAAATGCATCACCAAACCTTCGTTCGCACCTCGAAATACGTGTATCTATTAAACAAAATTTGGGAAAAGGTTTATCGAATTGTAGCATTTGGAAGATGAGTATATTCCAGCTAACTGAGTGAGTAAAAATTGGCTAACTTCCATGATGGATTGTTAATAATGTAAGAAATTATTTATTACTAATCGATATAAAAATTCGAATATTACGCTGATGCTATTTTTATTCGAAAAATGGGATATAGCCGAATATCATGAATTTTATTCACAGGCAGTTCTGGGGTATGATGACTTTCTGCTCATGCCACGTGTCAAGTAGATCGATAGTTTCACTTATGAAATACAATGGCACGATGGATAATGACAAAATAAATCGAAAATACGAAACAAAAATTATTTTATAGGAACCTCCGATTTAAAAAAAAATTGTCTTCGAATATTCATCACCATACGGTTACCTATGACACATACAGGGTATCTTGTATTTAGTGATACGACCAAGAAAGAAATTTTATATTTAAAAATAAATTGAAAATGGGAAACCAAAATTTTTCTATATGAACCTTCGTTTTCGAGAAAATTGTCTGCAAATATTCATCACCATACAGTTACCTATGACACATACAGGGTGTCTTGTATTTAGTGATATGACCAAGAAGGAGATTTTGTTTAAAAATAAATCGAAAAGCGGAAACAAAAATTTCTTAGTACGAGCCTTGGTCTTCGAGAAAATTGTCTTGAAATATTTGTTTGTACGCAGTCGTTGTACGTAATCGCGAGCTGATGGATGCCGACTGTTTATAATGGAAAGAGTAAGGCAGTACGCCTGATGCAAAGCAATTCGTTTCAGTGGAATTATTTATAAACACAAATATGAGCAAGGATATTAATCTACCGCGAAATCTGTTAGCCTTCGGAATACGAATGGAGGTACAGGTGTACCCCAGACATCATAAATACAATTCTTTGTGTTAACTGCGAGCGATAAACTTGTATTTCAATATGATGTAACATATTTACCCTTCTACCGAATTTACTTATGTGTACACATGTGCATTCAAAGTCTTTCACGACCACAGCAACTGACTAGACTGTTCAAATTTTCAAAATCAGAGACTCGATACTAATAATACTTAAAACAAAAATGATATTGGATGCAATTGTATTCGTGCATCCAGTATCATTTAATATCGGACCTCGACTTTGGTGTCACGAAAATTAACCCTTTCACGAGTACGATCGAAAATTTTGTGAAAACTACACTGTGCAAATAACATAGCACACATAGTAAGAAGAAAATTTCAAAATTACACGAGTAAAATTAGAAAATAATTATATATGTACGATATTTGCGATGAACATTTATCGGAGATCCTAGCCGCGGTGGCGCTAGTGAGTTAAGTGCAAGACCGCCTACGGGGTTAAATAGGAACCGAAGAAAGGCCTACTCTCGAAAACGAAGGCTCGCATAAAAAAATATTATTCCACATTCTTCCTCGTTTGTTAATACAAAATACACATGCTAATTCACATGACAAATATTGTACAATAAATATTGATGTAATAAAAGTATCACAATACGAAATAGCTGTGTCACCAGTCGCAAGACATTGCGTGTATTAAGTCTCGCGACATTTACAAAACTGTAACACCGTTGTTATTATCGCGAGAAATCTCTAATTTTGAAAATACACTGCCAGGGAAAGGAAAAATTTTCGTTTCCACGAATTATCGTCGTATATACCTGCAACGATCATCGTTATCGCGATAAAAGAGCTGCAATACTTCAAACACGTTGCGGAACGAGGCAAAAATTTTTGTTTCGACGAATTGTCATCATGTTTGCGTAATCCCGATGAAACGAAGGAAGATATTCGAATATTTTTGTAGGGGTTAACCGTAGTCGACTAATTGGCAGGTATCCTCGATGTGACAGTGGTGATAGAAGGAACGAAAGGAAGGGATGCATTTCGTGCATCGATGCATGGGCTTGCTAGTAGACTCATCATTAAGGCTACCTAGCAGGCCCTGCCTTAGACTAGGGATACTATTGGAATGTCGGTGAGTCGTATATGTAGAAAGCGGAGGTTTTATCAAGGAAAAGTCCTCGAACCTCCTTCAATGGCTGATCCTAACGTCGGAGAAAGTATAGTGTGTTCGAGAAAAGATGGCGCAGGGTGTTTTCATCCTCACGACTGACTATCTCCGCTGACAGTCCCAAAATTTAGAGACAGTGACCGTTATTAACCGAAAACGAAGACAAAGATCACTGACAGGCCATAGCAAGACCAAGTGAGATAGGACATGGCAGAATCGACATAGTCTTTGAAGTTATTATGAAACAGGAAACTAACACTGATACTGCCATATCCTATCTCACTCGATGATGATCTTCGTCACTTTTCAGCCAATAGTGATCACTGTCTGTAATCGAGGGAGTGTCAGCGGAGTTAGTGAGCCGTGAGGATGCAAACACGCTGCGCCATCTTCTCTCGAACGCGCTATAGGAATCCATCTGTCGGCCAGGGCGAGAACGATGCCGCTACAGTCGGAATGGAAAGTTCGGAGCGAAGCGTTTACTACGCGTTTAGGGCAAACTGTACGCGAATATAAATCATCGTAACCCGTCGTAATTGGGATCGTATAACTGAAATCGGGGGCCTGGCTGTCAGTGTAAACAGTGATAACGTGTTAAGAACAGCGAGAGAAGATTATGCGTAGGTAATTATGGTACAAGATGTTTCTCACTTACGCGTGACATTGGTTCTGCAAGAAGTTAAATTCCTCTTTGATCCTATCGCAGGATTCTCCGACTGTGAATTTAATTTGCTGCCCGGGTTGCGGTGGACCCTGCAATAAATTTACCAGAGAAACATTAGTAATCCGCCGGTGAAATTAATGATCTTGTTATTTCTTTATTGTCTTCAATTTCTTAATGCATGCACCTGACAGATGTTGCCCGAGTATTCGGGAGTAGCGACATTAACGTTCATTTTATTCGTTTCATTTTTCACTTTAACGTGCCCCGAGATATATTCGCTAAAGGGGGTATTATACTGTAATCCGGCTTATACAAATCGACTTTTTGCACATTTTTTCTGGGGAAACTACGATAATATTGGCATGCAATTTTTGGACACGAATTTAAATTATTCTTGGAGAATATTTACAATTCTTTTTTTAACAAAATGAATGAGAATTATGGAATTTTTTTATTTAATCTTGTAGCTATTGTAGGACACTTCTACAATTGCAAAACAGGAGCTTGTTGAAAGGAAAAATTCCCAATTTTGAAAAAACCAAATTCGAATATTTACAAATACTTTTGTTTTATTTCTGCGAATGAAAAAATATTTCATTATGGTTTTTCAACCTCTCTGCACTATGCACAATTCTAAGGGAGTACAAAGGGCTAGATTTAGGTTAGGTTACCTAACCCTTTGCACTACGTCGATGAGGCTAATTGAAAATTATATTCGACACGTTTCGAGCATGCGAAAAATTTGAAGAAATTCCAAAATAGAGTTAACTAAAATTAAATACACTTCCCATACACGATATTCCATAATTAAATCACAGATAAGAGGTTAGGAAAGTAATTCCTTTCCGCTCGAAAAAATTATGTCGCACCTGTCGAGTTCAGAAATTTTCAAAAATTCTGGCGGAAAATAAGAGATAGATTCGTTATCGACAAAAATTTTGTAGGACACGCGAGAAAGTTGGACCTAATTTCGACGCAGAATAGAGCTGTTTGGAAGGCTATTATATCGAAACTCCAAAAATACCTATTAGATTTCGCAGTAATAAACTACGGCTTAGTTGGTGAAAGCAGCGCGATATAGCGGTTAGAATATCTAACTACATCGTGTGTGGTATTACGTTATAACGTAGCAGCACGTAAAACACGAGCAAACTTTGCAGTCTAAACTTTGCTCTATTAATCGTTGCGCGTGTTACGCGGCAACCGCCGATGAAAGATGGCGTGTCGTTATCTTTTCGGCCGGTACGCGGCGCTCGCGTCGATGAAAAATAAAACCGACGTCATTCGCGTTTGTACCACGTTTCGATGGTGTCACTAGTGGGCCCCGACATACTTTTTAATAAAATGATTATCTAAATGGCATTTTATGGTAATAAAAATAATATAACGATAAAAAATCGAATATTGCCATATGTTTGATTAATTAGCGTTACGTTAACTATTTTATTGCGTTCGCGATTTATAACACTGTCACGAGGTGAACGAACTCATTACTCGATGGAGTATGTTAGTTTCGCGAGCAGTTGGTAATTTTATTATGGTTTCGAACTTCTGTGGTCGACGAGTTTAATTGTTCTGTTACGTTAAATCGCGTCGATATTGGGCGCAGTATTTTTATAATTACCGAATCGAGTATGCAAACCGAGGAATAGTTAAATTATTTTCGAATATAGTACGTTAATACGAAAAAGAAATAATTGGATGATTTTTAAACTTGGTATAGTAATTTGAAAAAGTATGTTCGAATAATTAATATTAAAAATTATGTTTTTAACGAAGTTTTTAATTCGGCAATTAGATATTATTCTAGGAAATAATTCCTGTAGAGGATTTGACGCTTGAAATATTTCCTTCGCCATACAAATCATTTATCGGTTTTCCAGACTCGCAAATTTGTCGAAAATACTGCGCGAGATAGGAACTTGACCTAAATTGCACGCCACGTATGATACGAAATCGCAGAGTATTAATTCAAATCGATCGAAAATAATTCAGATCGATCCGTATCTACCGAGATAACGAGCAAAATTGCTGGATCAAAAAATTACGAAAAATACCAAGCACCACGAAATTCGCTCGCAGGAGCGGAACAATTTCGTTAGGTATACATAACCTAAGACTTTCGCACACCACTGTGCATATTTACTCCACCAACGATAACCGCACTGTAAAACCCACGTGTATATAACGCGAGCCTGCGTGGACAACTTGTCAAGCCAATGCCAACATCGTTGTCCGACGAAAGAATTACGTCTCCACTTTTCAAAACCCCACAGACAAACCCTCGTTAAATCCCATTAACATTCATCAAGGCTCCGATTCTTCCACGAACTCGCATAACTCTCGATCCCAGTTCCAGCAAAGAAATTCAATTGCTTGAAAAAAGGAGAAGAAACGAGGAAGGAAAGACGAGAAGCAAAGACAAAGACGGAGCGCGACGGATGAAACGGGTTGAAGGAGGAAGAAAATAAGAGAGGGCGCGACGGAAGCCGACCGAAGCGCGCGACGTGAATACGCGTCAATGCCGCCGGTGAATAATTAATTTCACACAGCTGTTCACCGTGAAGGAGCGGAATGGATGCAGGAAGTAATGCGTTAGCCGATTCGCGGCCCCGCGAAGAAAAGGGGGTAATCAGAGGAGGCGTAGCGTAGAGGCGAGGCGGTGGCACGCACCGCTGCACCGCGGCAGACGGTAAACAGTAAAAGACATCTAAACGCCATCGGCGATCGCGCACGCGCGGTCGCATACACGATGTCGTAACGCGACGCAACGCGATAACAAGATCGCTGGCAGGTGGATACCGTGCTGCCCTCGGGGACCGCGAATCGGAAGCACTCGGGGAAATTCGGTCGCCCGCGGCACGGCATACCCCCCTCCCCTCCCCTTCTCAGAGATTCGATGGAACGCGAGTCTCCAGGCGCGACTCGAGCGCGAAAAATATGACGAAAGTTTCCAACCGAATTTCGTTGGATATTGTTGACGCGAGTCCACGATGCGGATACGCGAACGTGATTTCGAAAGTTATCGAGGTATATACCGCACGGTATAGCGAGATAGCACGAAAGGAGAAACGCGAGTTAGGTTATGATACATGCACGCAGTTGGATCGATGAAGGTTAGACGGATGGATGGTTCGCGGCGAACGAGTTTCATGCATCGGTGGAGTGTGGAAATCATAGGTTTTAAGCTTCCAGGCGATACCGGTGTATAAATAGTATATCGGCTTTTGAATCTTTCTTTTGGAATCTACGCTGAACTCGTTTGCCCGCGATGCTGTTTAGGCACGGGTTGAATCGAATCGTGTTAATGCTAGGGCCCTAAAAATTTTGTTAAATAGCATACCTCCTCGATCGGCACCAAAATTTGTACAAATTTCGAGAAAGTGGCGAGTAAATTTCGTAAACCCAAACCGCGTGTCTATAATTTTCTCGATAACAGATAAATAACTATTCCTCGTAATCACATACTATATAATTTTTCAGACAACATTAAAAAACCCATGTATCTTAAAAAATGAAGAAAATCCATGAAAAAATGAGATAAAAAAAGGAAATAAAAAAGAAAATAAAAACGACGGAAAAGTAAAAGAATCGGAACGCGAAAAAGAAGTTCGGCGAAATATTTGCTCTCGCTTCGGGACACCCCGTATAGCGGGTCTTATTCGTTACATTGGTCGGCATGCGCACACGATTACACGGGCGTATAGTCGAGGCTGGGTATAGTCAACACGATCTCGACTGACTGCAGCGGCTCGTAGAGAGAGAGCAAGTGTTAATTACATGTTTGCGGTGTCCACGAGGATTACACGCTACAACCGAAACTATGAACTTGCGAGGCTCGCACACGTGTACGTGTGCGTGCAAGTGCACGTGGGTGCCAATCGGCGTACACGTGTGGGCCAAGAGAGAGAGAGAGGGTGTTCTGTTAACTACATTCGCAGTGCCCAGCCTACGCAAGCGTCGTCCTTCGACCGACCTGTAGATCGTGTCGGATACGCTCCCCTACAAGCAGAGTCACGTTAGCCGACGAGTATCTCTGTTGGACTCGTGAAAATCGATCGATGCGACAACATCGTGTCGGAAAGACGGTTCCAGAGTGGACGTGTCGTACGTTGATCGACGTATAGGGTGGATGGTTCTCGAATAAAGTCCAACCGACTTTTGCCAGCGGTTTTTTCTTTTTTTTTCAGCAATCGATACACAGCTTCGGAAATTGTAAGGTCGAAGATCGGAACGAAATCTGATCAATTTCGAAGGGTGATAAATCTCGCATGGAATCACGAGTGTCTTTCTTTTTCCATAAATACGAGTGAGACAGAGATACGCAGGGGACAGAAGACCGTTTTTGCTGTGGGGTTTTTTCGACATGGATACGGTAGTGGCTTTGGCGATTGGTCGAAGATTGGGGTCGAATCTGAACGTTTAGAAGGGTGGGGGGTATCGTCCAACCACTCGGGAGCGTCTCCTTTTTAAGCTGAGTGCGAGTGAGACGCAGATACGAGACACGTGACACGCTTGGGCGCGTTTATTTGTATTTCTTAAGTGAGGTTAGAGATTCGCTTCGCGAAGTCGGTTCCGAGAATTGGGGAACAACGGTTATTCGCACTCCTACACGTATGTATAGATTCTCGCAAAATTAAACGTACACCTAACGTTGATCACGGAAAATGACGGAAAATTAATGTAAATACGCATATGTCAGCGTAAAAACATAGGATATATTCTATTTGCATATATTAACTGTTAACACAAAACGCAAGATATTTTAAATAAAGTTAATTGACTTAGCAGTTAAAATATGCAAATTGAATATATATTCTGTTTTTACGCTGACATGCGCGTATTTACATTAATTCGTCCGCCATTTTCCGTGATTAACGTAAATGTAGGCACAATTTTGTGAGCAACTGTATATAAATCGTAGCTATTTTTGACTGTTGGTCCCTGCGCAATTTTAACGGAGAATTAAAAAAGATTGAACGTTTGAATGTTAAGAATTTAACGTTAGAAATATATATATATATATATATATATATATTAATTTTTATACGCAGCGAATTTGTACAGTAAAGATAACTTAGCAATTATT